TAGTGTTAGTGTGTGTTAGAGTGTGTGTGTGTTAGAGTGTGTGTGTTAGCGTTAGAGTGTGTCAGTGAGTGTGTTACTGTGTGTGTCTGTTACTGAGTGTGTTAGTTTGTGTGCGTCTGTTAGTGAGTGTGTGTTTTGTAAGTGAGTGAGTGTGTGTCTGTCTGTCAGTGAGTGTGTATGTATGTCTGTCACTGAGTGTGTGTCTGTCAGTAAATGTGTGTGTCTGTTAGCTAGTGTGTATGCGTCTGTTCGTGAGAGTGTGTATGTCTTAAGCACTTACCTTTCTCCAGCGCCGGTCTTCCTTGGCGCTGGGGATCTCTCCGCCCCAATCCGCCTCTCAGCTCCGAATGCGCATGCGTGGCAAGAGCTGTGCGTGCATTTAAACCGCCCATAGGAAAGCATTACTCACTGCTTTTCTATGGATGTTCAGCGTCTTCTCACTGTGATTTTCACAGTGAGAATCGCGGAAACTCCTCTAGCAGCTGTCAATAAGACAGCCACTAGAGGCTGGATTAACCCTCAGTGAAACATAGCAGTTTCTATGAAACTATGTTTTCAGCTGCAGGGTTAGAACTAGAGGGACCTGGCAGCCAGACCATTGAGATGATGTGAGCTGGGTGTCTGTAGTGGTCTTTTAAGTGTATGTGTATCTGCATGCACTGGCATACATACCGCGGTCGCAGAGTAAGCGCGTGGGGGGGGGGGGCACGGATCAATTTTCGCACCGGGGCCCCATGGGTTGTGTGTACGCCACTGCTTTTATACCAAAGATTTAAAAGTATTTTTTGCTATTGCTAACCTATTTTAACCTACAACTTAATCTTTAAAACAGGTGCTGATTGTCTGATGGGAATCTACCTGTTTTTTATTGGAGTATTTGATGTGAAATATCGGGGACAGTACAAAAAATATGCATTGCTGTGGATGGAGAGCCTTCAATGCAGAAGTCTTGGGTTTCTTGCAATGTTGTCAACAGAAGTGTCTGTTCTACTTTTGACCTACTTGACGTTGGAAAAGTACTTGGCCATTGTTTTCCCATTCAGCAACATCAGACCAGGAAAACGCCAGACTCTCGTAATCCTTTTGTCTATATGGGTGGTTGGATTTATTATCGCCATCATCCCATTTTGGGATGAAGACTTTTTTGGAAATTACTACGGAAAAAACGGAGTATGTTTTCCACTTTATCCTGATCAAACAGAAGAATTGGGTGGCAAGGGATATTCTCTTGGAATATTTTTAGGTAAGATAAGTTAGCATCATATAATGAAGTACTTACTAGATGCAAAAAATACAGAACATTTCTCAAGTAAGTTTAAAGAGATAAACATGTCAAAAGGGACAGATCCATTATACATATGTATGATTATACCTGGTGATGGTTAAGGAACCCCAGTTTAAAAAGCCCTATTTACCATACCATAATTCTGGAGTTAAAAAAATATACATATATTTGCATATACAAATACATAGATGTCATGGAGCAAACATTCAGGAAGGCTGTGCCCTATGCATAATATAATCCTAATTGTTTGCAAGATGAAGGATTGGCTAAAAAGTGCTACGTATTTGGACAAGTGCAGCTAAGGTAATTGACAAAACCTAACTTTTCTCTCTAATTCCAGATGCCATGTTTATGTTTTTTTTAAAGAAATTGATCCCTCTCATTCAAACGCACTGTCTTTTACTCTCATCTTCTCTTTAAAAAAATTAAAAATAATTATAATAAAAACAAGTAAAAATTAGTATAAGATAGCACTATTCTGTAATAAACTCTTGCATTTTCTTTTTATCAGGTGTGAACCTTGTATGTTTCATCATAATAGTGTTTTCGTATGTTAGTATGTTTTGCTCCATTCAAAAGACTGCCCTCCTGTCCTCCGATGTTGGAAGTCCGATTCATACCGATGTTGCTGTTGCCAACAGATTTTTTTTCATTGTTTTTTCTGACGCTGTGTGTTGGATTCCTGTGTTTCTCCTCAAAATTCTGTCTCTGATGCATGTTGAAATTCCAGGTAAGATGTACATCTGTCATTCTATCATTAAGACGTTTATTATCAATCCGTTTAATTTTAAAATGCTGACAAAACAGAAGTAAAATACATTTTAAAGGCACACTGTAGCAACCACCCCCACCCCAATTATAAGCTCTTTACCTTTCTCTAGCACAGAAGCACTTTTTGCACAGTCCTAGTTCTGTAGCCCCGATATTAGGACAATCAAACCAAAGGTCGGACAGTTGAGATGCATGAATGTAAACAGTGTAGTTTCTTCAAAACTGCAATACATTAGATGAACTGGTCTGGGTGATTTTAGTGGTCCTTTAACCCCTTAAGGACCAAACTTCTGGAATAAAATGGAATTTTGACATGTCACACATGTCATGTGTCCTTAAGGGGTTAAATCAAGTGATACATTTTAGATAAGTGTAACTCAGTGAATGGTCTTTTCAAATTGTTTGTATTTAGATTTCTTTATCTGCCATAAAACCTAAATAAAAAACCATTGGCATTTGACTACATTTTTATAAAGTGCAACTTTAACCGTTAGGTCAAGAGATTAACTTGCTCACTTTAGACACTTGTGTTACCTGGTTACTTAGAAAGAACAGTGTAATATTATGCATAGCACATGGCCAGATTGAAAGTCCATTGGGCCTTGTTCTGACAATTGTGACTAAAACAGCTATACCTCCCAAGCATCATGTATCTGGTGGAAGTGGAGAGAAACTCACAGGATATAGCTATCAGAAAACACATACCCTATGATAATCTCTTGCTTTCATTTCACAACCAAATCCATACCCTCTAACATTGGCATTCTGTCAAGCGGGATGTTGGAAGGCAGGGTGAAAGGAGGTGGGCCACTAACACGAATGACGCCACTGGCACTGCCCAAAGATCTGAACCTGCCCGGAAAAAGGGCATGTCTGCCCGAAGAAGTGTAAGGCTAGCCTGGCTCAAATACATGCCAGGCTGCCTGCCAATCACGCAGGCTGGCCAATTAAGGGTTGGCAGAAAGAACTGTTTTAGCACTAATACATCTAATGAAGTGTTCATGCTTTGCTTTCTGGGGACAGTTCCCTGTTGTGCCCCAGCACTCATATACTTCCCTTCATACTAGCAGGCAGAAGCTCCTGGTATGCAGCCTGGGGCAGAGGAAAAAGTAGATGTCATGAGTGAAGAATTAATGGACATGCCATAGTGTTAGAGAGACCGACTCAACAAGAGCATTTGGATAGTGTGCAAAATCAGCTTAATCTTAACTAATTTAATTGTCAGCCAGTCCACACGAGTTTGTTCCTCTACATGCCTCCCTACACATAATATGAAAAGTAGTAGAACAAAATACATATATTTATTTTTAAATCAATGGGACGTTGGCCTGGCTCCATTCGCCCCTTTGTTAATCCGACCCTGGAAGCAAATTGTGGGCCAGCAATGATTTGAAGTGCCTTTAAAGTGACACTATAGGCAGCCAAACCACTTCATCTCATTGAAGGGGTCTGAGTGTAGTGTCCCTGTTCCCTTAACCCTGCAACTGCAATGTTTGCATTGAAGGGTTAAGACTGCCTCTAGTGTCTGTCTACCAAACAGCAACTAGAGGCGCTTCCTACAGGTTTTAAAGCATTTGATCCAATGAAATAATGCTGGACGTCTTCACATTTGCATGGGGACATCCAGCGTGTTTAAAAACACCATTGTAAAAACATTGATTCAACGCACTCCTACAGGGAAGGCCTAAGGCGCACACATTGTTAGGTTACCAGACCTCCGATGCGGAGGGACATCGGTGCTGGAATCAGTTAAGTGTTTAAACATGGCTGGGAGGAGGGCTGCGTGGACAGAGGGACACTATAGTATTAGCAATGCAGCTTTGTGTTCCTAAAACGTTAGTGTTCCTTTAAAACAGTCAACCAGCTTCACACAGACTGCCTCCCTTATTATAAAAGCATCATGTTGTAAATATACCCAAATACTAGAAAATTAGTCAACACAATCAGCGCTGTAATACAAACACTGCACATTCAAAGATATTTTTAATTGTATGCTGGGAGCTAGTTGTACCCCTGATACACGTGACTTGGGCAGCCCAGAACTCTGTTGGCGTACCCTCCCGCCTGCCTTTGTTGCTCCTATTTGGATTTTTAGTAAAAAAAACATCCTTCCCACAATCCCTCCCACACCTCTCCCATCGACAGCTCAGATTGCACGCATGAGCTCTGAGAATCCTGCGATTGGATCGCGTGAGACCCTTGTGATGTCAAATGGAGGAGGGAGCTGTAGGTTTGAGTAAGCCTTGTAAGGTAAAAACAAGTGAACTGCAAAGATTCTCTAAGTCAGCTATGCATTCAGTTCGGCTATTCTGGCCTTAAATGTGACAATCTCTTAGACTTCATTTTGAATTCTCTCTTTAGTGAATAACCCTGTATGTCTTTGTATAATGCCTTGATTTCATAAAAGCCTGACCATAACAACATTGAGCCAAAGTATCTTAATAGTTGCCGGACTCCATCTTTCCGAATTCTGTAGCAACCATAAATCAGCAGAGAATTATGAGCCCTATAGATCCGCAATAGTAAGGTCTTGCATTTTGACTTGCAGTATGCTCGTTACGTGTCTTTACAGCCCCGTTATTTGTCACTGACCAATAAACAATGGAATTGCTCAATGTATTTATCTGTGATTCCGTTTCAGGTACCGTAACTTCCTGGATTGTTATTTTCATCCTCCCCGTCAACAGTGCCTTAAACCCCATACTTTACACTTTGACTACAAGTTTCTTCAAAGAAAAACTAAAACAACTGTTACACAGACAGCGCAGGCGATCCATATTCAGGAATGAAAGGAAAAGCTTATCTACGTCCCTTGTATGGACTGAGGACCCTGTGATCCAACAGTCTTCTTCACTAAAACTTGGATTTCTCCATAAAAAATCTTTGGCAGATAGTATAACATCAACATGATTAAGAAGCATACTCCGTGGGAATAACGCCTAATTGGATACTCTGGGTTGCCAGCATCAGCCTGCGCGATGAACGTGATGCATAAATGTTACAGAGAACATTTGTGTTTCTCTCTTTCGACATCTCGTTGAGATGAAGAAAACCGCTGTCGATGGAATCACTGAAATAGAGGCACATATGTGATGATTATAGTCACTACTGGAAGGCACTTTTTTATATTACAAATGCTGGTTGCTTTTGCATATTACGGTTTTGTGTTCATATTTCTACTGCTGTGAATCATGACCACTTCTATATCATGCATTGCTAATAGAAAGGGCATTAGTGGTGTGATACATAGATAGCATTCAACGGCTTATAGCCGTGAACTTTACTCTCCTTATAGGAGAACATAAACATTTTTGAAAGGCATTTGCAGCAATTTTTTTCTACACAATACTGTTTCTATTACCCATTTTTAATCGTTTATTTGAGGAAAATGCACTTCTATTCATGCAATAGAATTTTCTAAAATAGAAAAAAAATGAAACAGTGGAGCGCTTACAATATTTCTGTATTAGATGTGTACGCGAAGGATACATACATATAATATGAGTAACAGCTTTAAGAATTTGACTTTATAAATTTGACAAATGAACAGTTTAGGAAGCGCCTTATAACAATAGCAATTATTATTTTTATTTATTTGGAATTTTCTAAAATATTTGCAAGCTGAACATAAAGACTACAAACAATCTAAGCTAGCACAATATGGGTGAACAGTGGAATTAATAGTCCATTTACCTAAGTGACTGTTTGATATAGCCAAACACCAAATGGTGCAGTTCTCAGGTTAACAGTGTTACAATTTCCATATAGCCAGCAGTTAGCAACCACACATTAGTTTAAACATCAATGTTTCTGAAATGTTACTCAGTGTGTATCTGTCTAATGATCCATAAAGGTTTGGAAGTTAAAATGTTCAAATGCCTGACATGTGCACGTGTGTGTTTGTATGTTTTCGTTTATGGTTACAAACATTTATTGTTATTTTTTAATGGAAATAGCCATTTTCTGCATTTACAACAATCTTATATTAAAATGGGATTTTCATAAGCGTTCATTCCCTCACAGCAAATTGTGGTCAATTGGAAACTGGATTTCACAAATGTAGACAACAAGAGCCTCACTTATTGGGAGAATGTGCAATAAAAATATCTATTTTGGGGTTTGTTTGTTTTTTGCTCACATGACAAAATAAAAGTGATTCAAGCAGAACTGTAAATATAAAGCATCAGTTGTTACCTAGAAATAACACAGTCTACATTTGCTTGTTTCATACTTGACCATTTTCTATCAACGTTATAAACTAAACTCCATATTATAGCAAATGAAAATCTGAATACAAAACCAAGGATAAAATAGGTGATGTGGAAAAGATCCAATTAGGCGCGATTTACCCCTATCATCGTTTTAGCATAAACGTTGCCATCCAGATATTAATACACTATGATTTGACATTTAGAGAATTAACCAAGGAGTATGTTCTTTAACGACAGATAGAACTTTAGTTTAATTTAATTTATTTTTATAGTTACAGGTCACATATCACAAGGAGTGCTATGCAGTTGCAAAGCTCAAATCTATTGAGAGTGGTCCCAGAAACTAACATTATGTGTTTTTGCATTAAAACCTATGGGGGTCACTATGAACCCCATAATAATAAAAGGGAGGTTAAACCCGCCTCCATACCCCTACTCATGGCAGTGGCTGCACGCTGTCATTTAAGACTAAATATAAATCAGTATGGGGGTCACCCTGACCCCCATATTGATAAAAGGAAGGTTAATTCCTCTTGAATGCATACCTAAACAAATTGCTGCCCAGTCACTAGTGCAATAAGGGGGGACCTGGCACAGGTTAAATCCTGCCGCATGCTCCTACCTGTGCCAAGTCCCCCTGTGTAGTAGGGGCCTGTGGCTGCTTGCTGTCATTTAAAACTGGATATGAAAACTGTGATAGAGAGCTACGGTAAGAGTATATGTTGCCAAAAGTTATAGCAAAAACTATAACAATGTTGCAATATAAAAAGTAGCTATTTAGATCTAAATAGCTACTTTTTACACATACTCTTTACACTTCTATATAGGATACATTTATATCCAGTGGCTACTCGATGTCATAAAACTAAATATAAATCAGTATGGGGATCACTATGACCCTCATATTGATAAAAGGGAGGTTAAATCCTCCTGCATGCCGCGATTAGGGACATGTCGCCTAAACAGCTTGAAATCCAACCAATCAGAGTGCTCTGTGTCATTTTACACAGCGTGGGAAAGTTCTTTAGAATTGTCCCATGCTGTGTAATTTGTCTCATAACCCTCTGATTGGTTGCTTTTCAAATTGAGTCCTTCTCTCACCAATTTCTTTCAAAGTATGTTGCAATTTTCTTTTTGCTTGCCCTTAACCCATGCATTACAATTTATGCAGCGTATTTTGTAAGTCTGGCACGTGCTACAACAGTAAAACAAAATTTAAAAAAACCACAAAACAAAATCTTACACGATGCCCCATTACATCTCGTAAGTGATGCAAAGCCCCTCTAAACATCTTTGTCACATTGTACAAAGAGAGCCAAATCTGCAAGTTGACAACATGTGCTGTGCTGTTCTCTGTCATGTTTTGTGAGCATTTATGTAGATCGCAAATATTCACATGGGAATTTGAAAACGTAGACTCCATGTGGCATCTCACATGGTGTTTTTTAAATCTTATTATAGGAGCAACAACTGAAAGATAATCATAGCATTTGTAGTCCATGGCTTCTAAAAGGCACATATTTCCTAATACTAAGTACCCACAAGTTCTAAGCTTCTCTTAACTCTGTATACCTTAACTCTAACATGCCAGAATCCGCCCAGCCTACATTTTATCACTACTGCCATCAGCACTGACATTTCCCTAGTATACAGTAGAAAACAGTCTGCTGCTGCATAATAGACTAGCACAGGGATATGCAGTCTTCGGCACTCCAGATGTTGTGGACTACATTTTCCATAATGCTGGCAAAGACTTATCGCAAATGTAGTTCACAACATCTGGATTGCCGAAGGTTGCCTACCCTTGTCCTAACACGTTTATGGTTTACTGTTCTTCCCTAGCTTAATCGCACACATTGTTTGGCGCAGAGCAGCGTGCACTCTCTGCTCTGGGTGATGCAGCTGGAGGGATTTGCAGGAAGACCCCATCTGGGTCTTGTCAAACTATGTGGATCTACCTCTCACTGGGTTAATGTCCAGCCATGTCCAGTGCAGTATTTAGTTTAAAGCAATTTGAGGCCGCCCCACCAAACGCCCTGGCAGATGCCCTATTAGCCTCATTTCATGGGGGCACAAGAGCTGGCAGACTGGCCACCTCAGGGCCCCCCGAGGCACGCAGCTGCTTATTATGAAGGCAGGCAGCGAGGGAGCACTGTCCCCCAAGATCTTCCTACTCTGGTCCCTCACGCGCACCGCAGTGATGCTGGGAACCAGAATATGACATCACTCCGGCTCCCGGCATCACTAAGCAGCGCAAAGGAGTTGAGCAGGAAGTTCACAGCTCTCTCGTGGCCTGCACTGAACGTCTGCCCGCACAGCACCACAGGAGCCAACCCAGCCAACAGCAACCCTATTGTACGTCAGGGACATCAGCCCCATTGAACCCCAGGGAACAATCCACTCCAGCTTTCCCAAAGGTAGGGAGGCTGGGAGGATTTATATTAAAATTAACTAACATATCATTTGTGAGTGTGTTAGACAATGTTTCTGAGTGTGTCAGTATCACGGTGTGTCTCAGTGAATGTGTGTGTGTGTCTATGGATGTGTGTCTGAGTGAATGTGTGTCTGTTGGTGAATGTGTGTCTGTCAGTGTAAGTTTGTCAGGGAATTTGTGTGTCTGAGCGAATGTGTGTGTGCATCAGTAAATGTGAGCGTGACTGTCAGTAAATATGTTTGTGTCTGTCAGTGTGTCTGTCAGTGTATGTCCATCAGTGTTTGTGAGTGAGAGTGCATCAGTTAGTGAGTGTATGTCAGTGAGTGTGTGTCTTTCAGTGTAAGTCTGTAAGTGAATGTGTCTGTCTGTCAGTATGTGTGTGTCTGTCAGAGTGTGTCTATCAGTGAATGTTTGTGTCTTTCAGTATAATCTGTCACTAAATGTGTGTGTCTGTTAGTGAATGTGTGTGTGTGTGTGTGTGTGTGTCTGTCAATGTATCCCTGTCGGTGTGTGTATGTGAGTGTGTGTGCCAGTGTTTGTCTGTGAGTGAGTGTGTATCTGTTATTGGGTGTATGTGTCTGTCAGTGTATGTCTGTGAGTGAGTGTGTGTGTCTGTCAGTGAATGGGTGTATTTTAGCAAGTGTGTGTGTGTGTGTGTGTTTGTGGGTGTGTGTCTGTCAGTGTAAGTCTGTAAGTTTGTGTCTGTCAGTGGATGTGTGCGTCAGTGTGTTTCTGTCAGTGAATGTGTGAGTGTGTGTGTCTGTCTGTCAGTGAATGTATGTCACTGTATGTGTATCTGATAGTGTGTGCATGTCAGTGAGTGGTTGTGTCAGTGTATGTCTGTCAATCAAAGTGTGTGTTGATCTTAAAGCAAGGTGTGGCCTTGACAGGAAGGGACGGGGCAAATTTAGATTGGTGAGGATGGTGTCCGAGTTTTGTTATGCCTAGGGCAGCACATATCCAAAATACACCACTGGCCATGTCAGTGATGAACAAGATTCCCTAATGTTATTCACATGTGACAGATGGGAGACCCACATATCAAGAGAAGCAGCCGCTGCCATTTCAAGAGTCACAGATTGGAATTATTCTATCATGGGTTCTTAAATCAAAGGAGACAATGATGGAATTCTTCCATCACGGGGTGTGAAGGGGTTAAAGCTAACCTTCTCAGTGTTCATAGAGACTAAATGCAAGCATCGTGTGACTCCCAGAACATTACGTTTTCATTTCAAATTCCTGTACAATGCAGCCTTCGGGCTATCCTTTGCTGACCTATTTTTGGTGAGTCTATCAGTCAACCACTGACCTGTACAGCTTTACGGACAAGCTCTGTGATTGGCAGATGACCTGACTTTTATTTTGTCATGTAAGGACCTCATCTAACAGAACAAAATGAACACAGTTTTCCTGTAATTCAATTCACCACAATTAACTTTTTAGGGAATAAACTCTTACATTTTTTAAATAAAAAAAAAAAGCTAGAAAAAGAAAATGGGAGCTCTCACTCATCCCTAGATATATGTTTTTTTACAAAGTCGAATGTCCACGGATTTCTAATGTCTGTTTGCCTTCTGTCTTATTTGGAGCATTTTAAATTTGCAGACAGGATTCTAGACTCAGTGTTGGGCTTAAGAATTTGTTGAAGCTGTACAGGTTAACTGTAATAATTTCCTTCATTTTGTGTCAGTGTGACAGTGTACTTTGTTAAAATTAACATTAACTACCTGTAAAATGCTCTACATGTGTACCAGTGAAGAAATTACTTTTTGACAATTTATATTTTAGTTGCATTTTCCAATTTTAGTAGGTGGCTACCTTGAATATAGAAACAGGTTAGTCTAATAAATTAGATTAGCTCATTATGGCTAACTTGGAAAAAAAAAACTACAACTACTAGGTTATTTGCTAAAGTGCAGCTTGTCAGGATTGCAAAGTGGATCTAAAATTGGAGGCCAAAATAGTCAAATTGCAAAAATTCTGTTTTTTAAATTCAGCTTTTTGGCCTAAAATGTTAACTTCATTTTAGATTAACGTTGAATTTTCAACAATTCCCACTTTACTAGGTAACCCCAAGTGAGATTTCTTTCCCAATTCTCCCATTTTGACCTAAATGCTTTCTGACGTTACAGAATTTGCTGTTTAATGAACACAGTGCTTTGATTTAGCTTTTAGTACTATTGTGTTCTTTCATGGAATGTAAACCCAGTTCTTTTAAGATTATAACATTTCTTCATTTAATGTACTACAAGGAAGCACTCGGAGCAGAGATGCATACATATATGTTTACAAGTTGCCTTTTTTGTCATTTTATGAGTTTTTGTGTTTTGTTTTTGTTTGTTATTTTTGTGTTGTTTTTTTTTAATCTGACAAATTGATTATATCTGAGCCTTGCAAATTTGTAACAGTTGCACTGTTATAGATGAAATAATACAATCTTTATAATTATTGTGTTTTTATTGTCCAAAAGCTTTCCAGCAGTAAGAAAAATTTGAAAGGTTTTAAGAAGAATGGATGCTTCCCTTTATGTCAGTGAAAGGCAGACTTATGACACGTTAGACACAATGTCTAAATAATATAGAATGCACACTATAACAACTTCAAACAGTAAATACAATCTGACTTTATTATGAACAAAGAAACGTTTAGTAACAAACAAGACCAAAATAAACAAAATAACAGAAGTAGAGGCAATATAATAATACAATGGTACAATACCAAGAAATCTTACAAGCCACAAGACAGAAACACAAGTCACCAAGCCCCCCAAAGCCACAAGACAGAAACACGAGTTACCAAACCCCCTTACAAGACAGAAACACTTATACACTTATATAAGAGTCCCTTATACGTTAGACACAATGGGCATGCTTGGCAGTTGTTTGCCAAATTGTGGATACTCTATGGAAGAGCTCAAGGCACAGCTAGAGTCCAGGATTTAGGGATTACCCGGGTGTGTCTAAGGTGTTTTAAAAAAAGAAAAGAAAGAAATTAAAAACACCTTAGACCAGGCTTCCCCAAACTCCGATCCTCCAGATGTTGCTGAACTACAACTCCCATAATTCTATGAATGAAAAAGATAGGCTGAGAATCATGAGAGTTGTAGTTCAGCTTGCTTTAGACACTTTTTCTAAATACTGGACTGTTCTGTGTACCTTGAGGAGAGGGTTGAGGAGCACTGTTCTAGGGGATGGTGCTACTATAAGGCTGCACAGGCGGCTGCCTTAGGGTACACTGGCAGGGGGTCCAGGATAACAGATGAAAATGAAGGAAAGGGACCTCAGTTAGGAAAAAGGACAAATGAGTCATTTATTACATGTTTATTACAAGGAAGAGGTTTTATTTCAACTGTCAAAAGTAAAAACAAATAAGTCAGTGGGACCAGATGGAATACACCCAAAGTTATTAAAAGAGCTTAGTGGTGTACTAGCAAAACCATTAACAGATTTATTTAACCAATCATTGTTAACAGGAGTAGTCCCAGAAGATTGGAAGTTAGCAAATGTTATGCCCATTCACAAGAAAGGTATTAGGGAGGAGTCGGGCACCTATAGGCCAGTAAGCCTTACTTCAGTAGTGGGGAAAGTAATGGAAACCATGTTAAAGGATAGTATTGTTGAACATCTAAAAACACATGGATTTCAAGATCAGAGACAACCTGGGTTTACTTCAGGGAGATCATGCCAAACTAATCTTATTGATTTTTTTGATTGGGTAACTAAAATAATAGACCAGGGTGGTGCAGTAGACATTGCTTACCTAGATTTCAGTAAGGCTTTTGACACTGTTGCACATAGAAGGCTTATCAATAAATTGCAATCTTTAAGTTTGGATTCCAATGTTGTTGAATGGGTAAGGCAGTGGCTAAGTGACAGGCTTGGACTTGTACCTCAGGGATCTGTACTTGGACCCATTCTCTTTAATACTTTTATTAGTGATATTGAAGAAGTACCTGATGGTAAGTTATGTATTTTTGCTGATGATACTAAGATATGTAACAGGGTTGATGTTCCAGGGGGGATAAGAAAATGGCAAATGATTTAGGTACACTTTAAAAAAATGGTCAGAGTTGTGGCAACTGACATTTAATGTGGATAAGTGCAAGATAATGCATCTTGGATGTAAAAACCCAAGGGCAGAGTACAGAATATTTGATAGAGTCCTAACCTCAACATCTGAGGAAAGGGAATTAGGGGTGATTATTTCTGATGACTTAAAGGTAGGCAGACAATGTAATATAGCAGCAGGAAATGCTAGCAGAATGCTTGGTTGTATAGGGAGAGGTATTAGCAGTAGAAAGAGGGAAGTGCTCATGCCATTGTACAGAACACTGGTGAGACTTCACTTGGAGTATTGTACGCAGTACTGGAGACTGTATCTTCAGAAGGATAGTGATACTTTAGAGAGAGTTCAGAGAAGGGCTACTAAACTGGTTCATGGATTGCAAGATAAAACTTACCAGGAAAGGTTAAAGCATCTTAATATGTATAGCTTGGAGGAAAGACGAGATAGGGGGGATATGATAGAAACATTTAAATACGTAAAGGGAATCAACACAATAAAGGAGGAGACCATATTTAAAAGAAAAAAAACTACCACAACAAGAGGACATAGTCTTAAATTAGAGGGGCAAAGGTTTAAAAATAATATCCGGAAGTATTACCTTACTGAGAGGGTAGTGGATGCATGGAATAGCCTTCCAGATGAAGTGGTAGTGGTTAACACAGTAAAGTAAATTGGGCAGAGTAGATGGGCCGAATGGTTCTTATCTGCTGTCACATTCTATGTTTTTATGATACAGCTGCCCCCATTAAAACCAGCACTATATTTAGCTTAGCTAAAGTATTCCCTATTCAGGTGGTGGAGAGCATGGTCTACTCTTCTGCCTGGTGCAGGCCATATTTATCGCTCCTTTGTGGTTTCAGCGATGTGTGAGTGAGTAAGCCAGTCACTGGGATTCCCAGCCTGTGCTCTGACTTCCTCACTATGCACCAGACTAGAAGGAGTAAATAATATGGTCTGCACCTGGCAGAGCACTGGACCATTAGGGAATCGTTATTAAGACCACTGAACCTCCAGGGAATTATTTTTATCTCGAGTGGACCACCGGGAATCCTTAGCCCACACTGGGCCATCAGGTATTTATTATTACCCCAATGGACCACCAGGGAAAGCCGCCTCCTTGCAAACACAGGTATGCAAAAAAAAAGGTGATTTTTTTTATTTTATTTTATTAATGTAGTTAAATTCTAATAAACACTTAGCACAGATCACACACAGTCTGACTTATATTTTTATGTTTAATTGCAGTGTAGAAAAAAAATGGAAAAATCATAAATACAAAATAAATTGAAATAAGGAATATCCTTAAATCACGACATGTGTTACCGAATAATGCAACAGACAAAATATATCATTTGCATTACACGTCGCCTATTCGGTTATAGAGACCACTTTATGTTTTATGAAACAATGAAAAATTCCTTATAATAGTCTGTGGTCCCTGCAGTGGTGTATCCTGGTTTTGTGCTGCCCTAGGCATGACAAAACTCACTGTATGGTTAAGGGGACAGGGACACTGCACCCAGACCACTTCATTGAGATAAAGCTGATTTGCCAGAGCACAATCTTTCATGTAATTATTCTCATAAAGATGCTAGAAACATAGAGATGTACGTGGAAGCCCCCTGTTTTTGTCAAACTACTTAAAAGTGTTCACCTCTAATTTAGGCTATTAACTAACTTGTAAATATGGTCTATAGTGCCTCCAATGTTTCTATATATCACCGACTAAACAAAAAAAAATGAGATTTGTGTAACAAAATAGTATACTTTTGTTTTCCATTAAGTGAATGTTCACTTTTCAACCACTAGATGGCTCTACTGATCATGCATACATTGTGCTTTAAAGATAAAAAATCTAGACTTCTCCAAAAATGTGTTTTGAGTGGTTCCTCCAACTGAAATTATTTTTACTCTTCAGCTGAACTCAATGATTGTCTCGGATTTAGTTAGACCTCATGGTGCCCTGAGCGGCCGCACAGCTTGCACACCTCTAAGGCTGGCCCTGGTCAAGGAAACACCTTGACCTCATGGTGATGTTCCTCAAACCATTCCTGAGCAGGTTTTGTAGTGTGGCAGGGTGCATTGTAAAGTTACTTGCACACTATTCCAAATCCCTATACACATGTAAATAACTATAGGTTTTTTTGTATTTCTCCAATAGCCATTTAAGTGTAAGCCCACCTGCCACGTCAAGGCAAAACCTCTTTGGTGAGTCCTACACTAACACATCACCTTGTTGCTTTCTGGTAAAATGCTAAATCCTTAATAAGACAGAGAGGGATATTTTTGTAACACCCTATACACGTATTAACCCTTAATAGAGAACACATGGGGTGGGCGGCCATACTGTATCATGGCTGTGTGATACAAAAGCAAATACAAACATACAAAATTAAGCCCTGCGCTCAAACTCCCACTTCTCCTGTGCAGCAGCAATTTGTATTACACAATCATGTTACAGTGCTGCCCCCACCCGACGTGTTCCCTTTTAAGGGTTAATAACTGGTAGGGGTTTAGAAAAATACCCCTCTTTGTCTCATTAGGTATTTTGCCTTTTAACTGAAAGTAGCAAGGGGAATTATTAGTATAGTACTTACCTAAGAGGTTTGCCTTGATGTGGCAGGTGAGCTTACACTTTAATGGCCTATGGAGTGATACTAAAATCTCCAGTTATTTACATGAGCAAAAGGATTTGGGATTGTGTGCAAGCTTTTTCTTGTATGTATTAGGTTTTTATTGTATGTATAAGGGCAGATGTGTACTATAGTCATTGCTGACACCCAGGAGTAGTGGGAATTTGAGCGCAGTCTTAATTTTGTAGGGAGCATTATCCTGACGAAACAGGCCACGGACATCAATGAACACTGTTGCCATGAAGGGGTGCACATGGTGTGCAACAATCACTAGGTAGGTGGCACGTGTCAAAGTAACATTAACATGAAGGACATGAATCAAGGTTTCCAGCAGTATAACATTGCCAAGAGCATGACACAGCCTCCGCCATCCTCCCTTCTTCCTATAGTGCATCCTGATGACATATTTTTCCCAGGTAAACAATGCACATGCACTCAGCCATCCAACTGATCTAAAAGAAAGCATGATTCATCAGACCAGGCAAACTACTTCCATTGCTCCATGTTCCAGTTCTGACCCTTACATTCTCATCAAAGGGGCTTTCAGTGGTGTACAGGTGCCATCATGGGCACTCTGACCCAGTGGCAGTACTAATGTAGAGATGATCCTGGTGCAGGAAATGGTTTGGGCCCCCCTCAAGTGAAAGAATGGCCAAAAGGTAGATCTCCATCTCTTATACAACTCCCACAA